CAGCTCAAACCTCACTGATGTTCACAGACACACATTAAAAACAAAACACTGATGCTATGATTGGATTTTCTAACAGAATAGATTAAAATCGAGTCCTGAAACCTTTTTCTACGCCGTTTCTAAATTCTTGGAAAAGAAAGAAGGAAACCTGGATAATTCTGATCAGATTTTTCTGGATCACCTGAAAGTATTTAGATTTTTCTCAGTTCGGTTCCTGATCATTTATCAGAGGAAGGATTGTAGATTTAGCCACATAGCTCTGATTCCTCCTAAAGAGGAGAGACTTGTGTTAGCAGCTAGCAAAGCAGACTTTAAATAGGCTCTTTATTGGTTAGAGACCCAGTCAGGCTGAATCCCTGTTGGATAACACACGCTGTTTTCGTCTCCTTCAGGTCTGATCTGCAGTCTGTCAGAGACTCCATCAGCAACCAGGCGTCTGCGGTTCTGCTGCTGTATGAAGACGCTGCAGACACTTTGGATCTAGCAGCACTGAGCCGGCGCTCGTCTGTCGTCCCCTCAGCTGCTGACATGTTGGAGTGGCTGCAGGACGCTGAGCGTTACTACCGGCAGCAGTATCCTTCTTGTTGGCTGCTACATGTTGCCGTGGTGACAGGGTCCGTGGTTTTCCTGAACTCGCTGTCAGATTTTTGCAGAGGAAGATTCTGCTGCAGACGCTGAGACTGGAGGATCTCTCACAGGTGGAGGGTTTCCCACAGAGATGGAAAACTCTGGAATCTCCCGATTCAGAGCAACGAATCACAGGTGAGACGACCACAAACCTGCCAGCTCTGGCTGATGACATCATCATTGACCTATGACATCATCACTGACCTGGCAGTAATCTGACTATCTGCCATCAGCTGACCATCACTTTAGCAGAACACATTAGATGATCTGTAGCATCAGAACAACTCTGGTCCAGTCCTGGTTCTATGAGTCGCAACTGGACCAGGGGGCATTTTAACCCCTACGGCAGTGGCTCCCAGCCCTGGTCCTCAGGGACCCCCGGGTCCGTAAGGTCCTCAGGGACCCCCGGGTCCGTAAGGTCCTCAGGGACCCCCGGGTCCGTAAGGTCCTCAGGGACCCCGGCCCTCCATCTTTTAGACA